TCTTGATGTCCAGAGACATTATTGGCTTTCACACAGAGCACATGTACAGCTGCACAACATTGCCTCCCAGTGGGGGGCGGTGTGTGTTAATTGAGTAATGGTTTCCCATTTTAGAGGAGCGCTGTGAAGCTAGCTCACTGGTGTTTATAAAGGGCTTTGAGATCCTTGGAGGACAGGGTCTATAAAGAAAAAAGGACTTTCCCTGTGATTGCATAATGCAGGCTGTAGTCAAGGTTAAAAATGCAGCTACAGTGCGGGAGGGGAAATACGGGTGGGCAGGATTTGTTGATTTCCCAGAATTCTAACAACCTATAAGGCTAAGTTCAGTTGTTTTCCCCTAAGAGACAGAGAGCCAATCAGGCCAACATTTGGTGGAAATATTTTTAAAAGGGGGATTGGGAACACTTTCTGAAGAGCAATAAAAGAGGCTGAATAGTTCAAATAGGAAATAGGAAAAAAATGTTCCTTCTTGCTTACTGCCTTATTTCTACTTTGGACTCCGTGGAAAACTGCAGAAAGAGCCATTGAATAGTGAGGTATATAATATTGCACCAAAAATGCTATTAAAGAAAACATTAAGGTTGCAAAGCCAAGCACTCTGAAGTTAGAAAATGCCAGAATGAAGGTTGCCTGTGCACCTTTAATTCAGCACCCTTCTGCATATGCATTATGAGTCTCTCTTTAATTACTATGGTGAGAGATTGTGCCACACACACTCAAAGAAACTGAAGAACCACCTGATCAGCATCTTGTACAGCAAACAGGAGAAGATCAAGAATAAGCTCTCAAAACTGGAGACTCTCTTACAAAACCAACCTGCCACACAAACTTCCACGTGGCTGGACTTTACAAAAACGAGACAAGCCATTTACGATGCACACTTTACTTCTCTACAGAGGAAAAAGGACAGTAAACTATCTAAACTCCTACATGCCACAGGGGGCTACAACAGTGGTACCCTTAATTCACCCAACAATATTGTTAATCTATCCAACCACACCCTTAGGACAGACTCTTCTGCCGGGCTATCTTGGGGACTCTCTTTCTGCCCCACCACCCCCACACACATGACACAGTTCTGTGGTGATCTGGAAGCCTACTTTTGCCACCTCTGACTCAAGGAATATTTTCAACACACCACTGAACCATGCACTGACCCACAGGACCCCTCCTACCAACACAAGAAGGAGAAGAATTCTGCGTGGACTCCTCCTGACAGTCGAAATGACAGACTGGAGTTCTACATAGAGTGCTTCCACAGATGTGCACAGGCTGAAATTGTGAACAAACAGCATCACTTGCCCCGTACAGAATGCAGCGCCATCCACAGCCTCAAAAACAACTCCGACATTATAATCAAAGGGGCTGACAAAGGAAGTGCTGTAGTCATCATGAACAAGTTGGATTATGAATAGGAGGCTGCCAGGCAACTCTCCAACACCACCTTCTACAGGCCACTATCCTCCGATCCCACTGAGGAGTACCAAAAGAAACTACACCATCTGCTCAAGAAACTCCCTGCTATAGCACAGGAACAAATCTACACAGACACACACCTTGAGCCCCGACCAGGGGTATTCTATCTGCTACCCAAGATCCATAAATCTGGAAATCCTGGATGCCCCATCATCTCAGGCATCTGCACTCTTACAGCAGGATTATCTGGCTATTTGGACTTTCTCCTCAGACCCTACGCTGCCAGAACTGCCAGCTATCTTCAAGCACCACCGACTTCCTGAGGAAACTACAATGCATTGGTGATCTTCCTGAAAACACCATCCTGGCCACCATGGAGGTTGAAGCTCTTTACACCAATATTCCACACAAGGATGGACTACAAGTTGTCAGGAACAGTATCCCTGATGAGACCACGGCACACCTGGTGGCTGAGCTTTGTGACTTTGTCCTCACCCACAACCATTTCAGATTTGGGGACAACTTCTACCTTCAAGTCAGTGGCATTGCTATGGGTACCCGCATGGCCCCCCGAGTGTCTGTTCCTACGCATTGAAGTTGATTCCACTGGGTGAAGGATTGAGTCCTGCCAGTTTAAGTGGAACTCACATGGTTCATGGGCCTTGTGTAGGCTCTCTTTCAGGGGTGAATTTCAGCCAGACAGAGAAATATCTTGCTTGGATATGCACATGCGCAGACATACATGATTCCTGCAAAGCTGATGAAGTTATTCTGCAAGAGGAGGGTAGTTTAACTGCCTTATCTTCTACATGCCAGTTGCTAAATTATTCCCAGTGTGTTAAACAATGTAATTAAACACATACACGCACACTAAAAACCCTTGTTCTCCGTCAGAAGAGAGAGAGAGAGCGTGCGTCAGCCCCAGCCTTCAAGCTCTGTTAGTTTTAATTTGAGTTGTGGAATTAGTAATCAGTTTTGCTGGAACACTGTTGCGGGAAATAGATCTTAGCATGCACAAGGCCTAGGTACCGTTTCAAATGAGTATTTGTTAAGGAGAAACTATTCCCTGTCGTGTTATGGTACATTACATGAGATTTATTTCCATTGCATTGAAAAATGCAAGCCAAAAAGGAATGTTCTTTCTCTATGTCAGCTGAGGACTATTTCTGAATTTCATCTGATTTCTTTGAAATGAAATTGCTTTTTTAAATTCAATAACAAGACAAGACACTCCTAGTCTTTCCAGGGGATTGTTAAATCCCTAAGAGGAAAGGACTTTAACTACCTAGAAGGGCAATAATGCTTTCTAAAACATGGGGAAGCTATATTAGCAGTTTCAGTGAATCTAGATGAAGTTTTTAATAATCCTGTGTGAAATGTTCACAACAAAATCAGAAGCCAGGTTCTCATCTGAATAGCAGTGCTTCTGCTCTCCTTACCCAGTGTTGGGAGTGTATCGACCAATAAAGATGATCATCTGATAATAGAAGTATCTTTCATCTAGCAAAAAAGGCATAACAAGATCCAGTGGTTGGAAGCCGAAGCCAGACAAATTCAGACTAGAAGTAAGATGCAGATTTTTAACAGTGAGGGTAATTAACCACTGGAACGAATTACCAAGGGAGATGGTAGATTCTCTGTCACCTGAAGTCTTTAAATCAACCCTGGATGCCATTCTAAAATATATTCTATAGCTCTAACAGAAGTGCCAGACGTTGTGCAGGAATCACTTGGGTGAGGCCATTTGGCCTGTGTTATGCAGGATGTCAGACTAGATAATCACAGTGGTCCCTTTTTGACCTCAAAATCTATGAATCATCTGCCCAAAGTGACCAGTGGGCTTAAAAAACAAAATGCTGTGAATGAAGATGGCTGGAATGGAATTCGAGGGAAGGTGGGTTGTGTTTGTTGGAAGGGATAGGACTCAAAGGAATGTTCAATACTTTTAGAGAAGGGTGAAATGGCTTAGGTTAAAACCAGAATGACACTGGGGTTAAAATGTGACTCAGAAATATGTGGCTTGGGATAAAAAAAGCCCTTGAGAGCCTTTGTGAAGCAAGGGGCTCTAAGTAGGTTTTATTCCTCTGAATGAGTGTTCTTTCAATAACAGAAGGTCCCAGGTGACAGTGTGTGAATGCATGTTTGTGCCCACATGAGACTTTGGGAAGGCCATGAGACCGGTACAAACAAAAATCCTCACACTCCGCTTTTGTGCAGAATAACAAAGTCAGGAACCAATTGCTTTTTAAAACTCTGGAGCTCTGGCAAAGCCTTGGAGCCTTTGAAACCTCTGCCCCTCTCCCTCCTCATCTCATGGCCGGATCAGGAATGGAGCTGGAAAATAATGCAGAAGACCCGGGAGGATACTTCTTTGTCTGAGCTCCCATATCAGTGGATTCAGGGCTGGTAATATAGAGGGTTCTTCTGAGGTGGCCCTCAACCTTTCTTCCCTATCATTCCTGACTGTTGGTGATGCTTTCACAAGCTGTTCTACTTCTGTGCTCTTTGGCAATCCTAAGGGGGAAGGGGCCCGCAGCAAGAGTCACGTCTACTTAAATTCTTCACCAGCAGCGCTGCTCAGTGCTGCATCAGCCCAGAAGTAGACAGAATCCCTCCGTCTAGCATCAGGACTAGTCATTTGCATGCATCTGGCTCATGACTGCAACCAATGAGGAGTCTCACCCAGCTGTGTGAGGAAGCGCTTTTCCCAGCTGACAGCTGCTCTTTGCGCAGAAGAAAAGGCACTCCTAGTTGAGATGGACCCAAACAACATGAGAACACCCCCAAATCTGGGCAGGGCAGTGGGTTTCCAAATCTGGATATGACTCTAAACTTCACGCTAAACCCTAACTCAGCTCTCCAATTGAATCAATGGATCTAAATCCCTCAGACTTTGGAAGGTGTGGATGAAATGCAGATTTTGATCTAGGTCTGGATTTTTGCCTCCTAGTTATTTGAGAAATTGATCCTAAGACACAGCCATCCCTGAGTCTTTCCATTAACATCAACGGACTTTGCACCAGACCCCAAGGCAGGGCAATGGCTGGAGGGGTGTTTGTCTTGGTTAGCACTCGCAGCAGCACAGTGAATGGTGGAGCCGTATGCATCTGAATGTGGACTAAGCCACCAAACATTCAAAAATGAGTCAAAGGAGCTCAGAAAATGAAAGTAAACGCTCACAAAAATACACTGTGCACAAAAGTAACCAACAGCGGAAAGTGTTTTTTGGGCCCACTACAAATGCCTTAGGTTACCATGGCTTCTCATGAAACACCCTTCCCTTCCCTCCCTTGTTGTCCAGCCCCCCACAACCCACCCACAAACATACCCCATGTTCTTTTAGATTATCTATATAGTAGTTCAGTGTTTCCCAGACAGTTTGCTCTGCCTGTCTGCCAGGAAGACTTAGAATTGAATCTGAAGCAATGGCAGAGCTGGTTTAAGATAAACCAGGTGGGATTTTCTCTTTCCCCAGGCATTTCCAGCTAGGAAGGATTTTGTCACAACTACCTCCTTCAGCCTTGTGAGTTGCTGCTCCAGAATCTGCTCTGGGCACTCCCTGTGTCCTTGGAGGGCAGTTAACAATAGCTGACACTCTTTCTCCTTCACAGGATAGAGACATGATGATGCCTGCCCCTGGCCCGTATCAGAAGCTAGAGCGAGGCTGGCAAACCAAGGGGAGGACTGGAAGCCTTCAGAGCCCCCAGAAATTTAACAATCAGGACTTCACCCACTTGAGAGACTACTGCCTGAGCCGAGGCCTGCTGTTTGAAGATGACACCTTCCCAGCACATGTCAGTTCCATTGGTCCCAATCTGCTCTCAGAAGACAAGCTGAGCCGCCTACAGTGGAAAAGACCAACGGTGAGTTCCTCCTGATGGCTTTCAATAGCAAAGCCGATTTCCTGAGTGTAAAATACAACAGTTTTGATTTGTCTCATGGCTATTAGCTACATCCCTGCGTGGAAGGTTGTGCCCAGCTGTGCTGACCCGAGGGAAGCACTGGGAAGCATTGCGTCTTATGGACAGACCAAGGCTCCCAGGCCTGTGGGGAAGGGTGCCTGGTGTTACATCTCCATTAGAGGGTGAGGGGGTGAAACGTGTGTGCTTCTCCACTGGTCAGCGCACGGGGGCAATGAGCAGGAGAGCACAGGGACTGAGATCACAGCCAGCCCTTGTGAAAGGGCACTAAGGGAGGGTGTTCCTGGCTTGTGTCCCCCCACACATACACCTGTGCAGGGATCAGCCACAATCTTGCCCTTAGTTTGAACCACTTCATTACAAGTATTTGTCCCAAAGCCCCATGGGATGGTGCCCTGCTGTCCTTTCAATTTATCCCACAACCTCTTCTCTGCCCTGAAAACCTCCCTGCCTGCTTTTAAATTAGTAGACGTCAATAGAAATCACTTAAGCTGAAGTTTTCATTTATTTAGCGTTGTTTTAAGTATATTGGATCAGGTCCTCAGCTGATGCAAATTGATGTGGCTCCACTGACTTCAGCTGAGCGACCCTTGATTACATCAGCTGAGATCTGGCTCACTTTTAAGGCACATATTCAGATCATTGGTCAGCTTGCTCCATCATTTCCCTAAAACCTTGAGGGAAAGCTTTGCAATCAGTCCTAGTTCTGCAAAGCCATGGGGCCAAATTCTGGATACAACTCCACTGAAGTCATAGGGCCAGATGTAGGGAATGGTGTAAATTAGGCCCTTCCCTTTCTCTTTAACCTAGATATCTAGACACTCAGACTCTCTTCAAGCCTACTTCAGCTTCTCCTACTGATGGGTAAGGAAGTCACCGGTGTTGTAAAGGGGTCTGAAACTGACACCATTTTAGGATTTGGCCCCTAGAATCACAGATTGTAGAAACGGAAACAGCCTGTTATCCACTCCCATCCCCATGCCAATTGCAGGATTGCCCCTACTTTCTAGTGGTTTGTCCAGCCTACTTTTTAAAAAAGTCCCAAGCAATGGGACTTTACCACTTCCCCAGGCAGGACTATTGTACACATCTTTCAGTCACCCAGTAGAGCTGCACCTTCTTGCAGCAAATGTGCCCCATGACTGTATTTTCTCAACCACTTTCCTTGGCTCCCCCTAACATTTAAAGTCTGGTTAGAAATCTGACTGCAAAGAAAAATAGCACCTTGGTCCTATTCTTCTCTCCTCATTCTGTATCTTCTGAGTCACGTAATATCTGGTTATTTAAGTGACAGATCATTTTTACGGCTGTCAGTGTTCCAGATCCAATATCGCAGCCGAGGAGCAAGCTGCCTTCTATTTTACCCTGTGCATCATCAAGAGAATTGCCAATTACATTCAGAGTCTGGGATCTTTGTATCTGGTGCTAATGTGCAAAGCAGAAAGAAAACAGCTTGATTTTCAGACACCAGGCAGTGGTGACAGTTAGAGACAACTTGTTTTGACTTGTAAAGTGAGCCAATTTGATATGGGAGTCCTTGAGGGGGAATAGATTAGGAGCACCACGATGTCATTTTTATTGTCGCTTTTCTTGATTATGTAGTAGCTGCACTTGAACAGTAGCTGTGAAGATTAAGGGCCATGTTTTCAGACCCAGCCTCTGGTTTTGTGCCCACAGAAAGGTGTGTGCTGTTATTTACACCTTCAAAACTGTGTGTTCACATGGTCTGCATGTGCCATTTCAAGCATTTTTGTTCTAAATAGGGGTGATTAACACTGAATTAGGCAGGGATCCTGTGGAAAAAATACTATGTGATTTTCTCATTACAGACTCTCTCATAATTACAGCTGGACAAAAAAAATTGGACGAATATTTTATTCACCAAAACCGTAGTTTCAGATTAACCAAAATTATGAACCAATTCATGTTGAATTCGGCAAATAGTTTTGGCAGAACAAATAAATACAAAATTTTTAAAAGTTGGAAAATTTCATTTTAATTTTTTAAATGAAACATTTTGTTTTTTCATTTTCAGACAATTTCATTTTGAAATTTGCCTAAATTTAATTGATCCCTCCCACAAAATAATTTTGGGTCAAACAAAGCATTTTGGCCAACTCCAAAATAATGTTGGGAGAGGGTTCATTTTGCCAAAGAAAAGTTATTTCAGGTTAATCCAAAACAGTTTTTGTTTTGGTTCAGGCAACAAAATGAATGTTTACTTATTTGCACAGCTCTAAGCGTAATACATATGCACAAAGAGGCTAACTCAAGATTGCACAGGCAACTTTAATTCTGACGTTTTCTGATTTCTGAGTGCTTGACTTTGCAATCTTCAAAACATTCTTTTAATGTAGGGGGAGTGAGTGTGTGTGTGTGTGTGTGTGTGTGTGTGTAGTGCCAGGATGCTGCAACAGAGATCAAGATCCCACTGTGCTAGGCACTGCACAAACACATCATTAAAGTCCATCCTTGCCCAGAAGAGTATGCAATCTGAATAGAGAAGCCACACAAAGGGCGGGTAGAGAAACTGAAGCACAGAGAAGTGAAGTGACTTGCCCAAGGGCAAACAGCAAGTCAGTTGCAGGGTCAGAAAAGAACCCATGTCTCCTGACTCTCAAGCAGAGCTTCTATTCACTAAAGCATGCTGCCTCTCTATTAGTATGTATCAGTTGTATTGTAACCAGCCCTTGAGGCCGCATTCAGAATCAGGGCCCTCCTGTGCTAGGCATTGTGCAAACACATGTAAAGGCAATCCTTGCACCGAAAGAGCAATCTAATAGTTAGTTTAACTCAGGTTGAGTAGCACATTGTCCCACTGTTCACGAAGGAAAGCGCCATGCAGCATGAGTTAGGGCATTGGAGTTTGGCCCTACCATGAGATAGGTCACAGCAAGTGGGTGTGCCAGGCAGCTGGAAGGGCTGTCTGGATGACTCGGGGTGGCAGGGAGAGACGTATGTGGTTATCAATACTAGCTCTGTGATGATTAGTAGGTTTTAGGTAAAAAGAATCATTTAAAATGGGTGACTCGGGTTTTCTCTGGTCACACCATCCCAGCCTCCAGATGGTGCCTTGAGGCCCTTTGGGAACAAAGATTCCTATGGGCCTTCTCTCATGTAACCTGCCTCCCTGTGCCAGAGGACCCCTGAAAGGGGGAGGTAGGGTCAAAGTGGGAACGGGTCACTCCATGGCATGTAGCACAGAGAGAGCCCCCAGGCTGGAGGCTGACCCGGAGAAAGGCTGCAGAAGGAGAACGGGAGCAGAGGTGCTGCATTGTGCACACGGCTACGCACCCAGGTCTCACTGATCCCTGGCTAACTGCTGCTACTATGCTGAGCACTGGGTAGGATGGGCCCAGCCCTGCTGCCTGAACAATGTAGCCTGTTAGTTTACGTTATTGATGATTTATTTCGCTCGTTGTGCATACAGGGCTTACCCACAGCATTCACATTCCCACCCTCTTCCTAAATAAAGTGCCACCTTCGTTAAGAAACAATCGGCCCATTGATTTTTTTTTTTAATCAGCGTTCTGCACCGGGCACAGACATAATTTATTTCCTGGAATTTGCAGGTGGAGGCCTGAGCGACTAACTACATTCACACCCAGAGACCACGTCTACCATGGCCACAGTTCTAGTGCCTGTAAAATCAGATGGGTGCTACAAATAATGAAGCCGGCAATATTAATGTTCACAATCCCTATGACCACCTAGCAGCGTGCCCGTAGCTTTTGGGGGGCATTGATCCAGGCACAAAATCAAAGACTGGTTTGAAGCCACCTTAAAAATGTGGCCCTAATACTGCTGCACGATAACCCAAAGAAATAAAATACCCCCCACTTCCTCCCGTCCCCCACCATTCACAAAAGAAGAATTCAGGAATTCGGAGTCTAATTTGAGATGCCCCAAGCTGCTGGGAAATATGGGAAACACATAGTGGCAAGGACTGCAGCTGTTGTGTGCTACCTGTCCTTCAGTCAGTCTACAGGGCTGTCTTCCGGTGTGAGCAGAGGCTGCTGGGCTGTTCCAAGCTTGGATATTTTTTTGGAGGGTCACAAGGGTGTGGAGCCTTAAGATCCCATTCAGTATTTCCGTTTGCCTGAAAAAGCAGCTTGATGATGTGGAAACAGCATTTCCACCCTGTGATTGTTTCACACAAGAGGCATCTTTGCCTATTCAAGCTGATTGAATCAGACTGAGACTTCAGACTCAATTGATCTCTGGACCGGGGAAGCCACATCATGGACTAGTCTACGCTCAAAACTTTTGCCAGAACAGCTATACTGGCAAAACTCTCCGAGCATAGATGCGGTTATACCGGTACAAGTGTTTTGCGGGTATAGCTTATTCCTCTAGCCTCGGCTGCTTGTCCATAAAGAAAAATGGGGTACAGCCAAAAAGATCACATAGGAGACCCTAGATTTGGAGCAAAACAAAAGTGAAGAGTTGATGTATTAAATGCCTTTGTATTAGTGGGTTGCATATCTCACTGACCTCTCTGCTTACTAAGTAGGAGTATAATCTATGTAGTGAACTCCCACAGCTAACACAGGTAAAGGATTTAAGACCTCTTCTAAGCGCTGAATCTATGTTCTGACATGAGCTCACACATATGGCTGATGTGTTGTCATGAGACTGTGATTAATAACAACACTATATTTATTCTCTCTGTTTGCTGTTTTCATTCTTTTTGGACCTTGAACTGAGCAATCCAAACAGCCAGGTAAATATCTATGTGGAGGAGGGGAGGAGGGGGAGTCCTATTTTGTTTCTTGCATATCCTGGGGTTATTTGGCAGTAATTCTTTCTACAACACACCCTCTCTCTGGTACTTACATAATATCTGAGCACCTCCCAATCTTTGTCCTGTGAGCTACGGAAGTACTATTATTCTCCTCTTGCCACTCTTTCTTGGGGAACTGACACTCTCGGTCTGAATATTA